ATGTATTGATTTGTATATCCAAAAGTAATTTGTTTGAACGCACCGGTCACAGCTGAAATTTAAACTCCAAGTTTTGCTAGAAATAACAAAGTGATAAATTTAATAACAACATCAAAGGATAGAAAATAGTGGAGAGCCATGATCGCCCACGTTTTGAAGGGACACGACACATAGAAGAAGAAGAATGAGTTTTCATAAATATAACAGGTATTAGTAGAGCAAAAAGAGAGACTTTACTATGTGTTACAAAGGAAAAGAAATTGTGGAGAACCATAATCATCCATGTCCTTAAGGGACACGGCACATAGAAAAAGAATGAGCTTGCATAAATGGTTAACAGAACAGGGATTAGGGGAGATAACAAAAAGAGAAACTTTACTAAGAGCTACAAAGGATAGGAAATCGTGGAGGACCATATTCGACTACGTTCTGAAGGGACACGGCGCACAGAAGGAGAAGAAGGGAAGAGGATGAGGAGTTTAGACTCAGCTGGGAATTGCACCAAAAAGCAACGACAGTTTTCAGAAAATTTATATTCGATTAATAATAATAATGTCTTGGTGGATTAAAATTTGCTACAGTAAATGTCTTGTTTAGAACAGGTTTGCTTATCAGTTGTCTGGGCTTAACCAGTTAGGCTTGTCCCCTCAGGGCTAATACACTCTGCATTTTTTTTCGTGAGCAGGAGTAGCGATGGATCATCATAGCCGGGTATCGAGAGTCCTTTTTTTTTTTTTTTTTTTTTTTTTTTTTTAAATCTAAAGGATGTTGTAACCAAGGCGATTTTTGAATCACATCGAGACACGAGGGAAAACCCTCAACCGGAGATTGCCTGACCAAACTGCGTTACCAGACCTGATGGTATTTCTAAATATGCCTCACCTGCAAGGTCACAGGCTGTTTCTTTACGAATAACTCTCACCATATCGCACATACATGGCTGTGATGCATGTTTAGTTTGGTTTTGTATGGTTTGTTTTAAGGCACATCAACCTCAATGGCTCATTTAATGCCGACGACTTTTTTTTCCTGGTAATATTTTTGTTTTGTCAAAAATCTATTTCTGTTAATATTTTTTTCCTCAAAAACGTACAGCTGGTAATATTATTTTTCCAAAACGTACATCTGATAATACTATTTTTCCAAAACGTATTGCTGAGGATGATATTTCTTCAAAAACGTATAGCTGGTAATATTATTTTTTCAAAAAATTCATAGCTAGTAATATTATTTTTTCAAAAACGTATAGCCGGCAACACTATTCTTTAAAAAAAAACAACAAAAAAAAAAACGTATAGCTGGTAATATTTTTTCAAAAACGTATTATCAGAGGTTTTGCTGTTGGACGTAGTTTATCGTCATACCCAGGACGCGGATGTAGTTTATCGTCATATCCAGGACATGTGATGCATGTGATTGGTGATCATTTAATAGATTGCATTATTATTATTATTATTATAAGAAGAAGAAGAAGAAGCCGCCACCATAAATTTGATGAAATTGTTGACCACGTAGTATGAGGGTTCCAGTCCTTGCTAAGAAATGGACGTTAATGGGTATATCCCCATTCACATAAATACAGTAGTAAATACTGTATGTTGGTCTGCAGTTGGAGATTCATCTTCAGCTGTGGTGGTCAAACTCTATGCCTCCGGGCAGAGAGGATCCGCAGACGACCCGACCCCGTTTTATACGGGGAATTTTGACCGAGACTACGGGCTCGGATACCTCACTTTAAATTCGGCCTTGTGCCACATCTGACCGCATGGGGCGGTTGGTAGATATCCTGCAGTTGGGGATTCGTCTCCAGCTGTGCTAGTCAAACTCTGCCTCCAAGCAGAGAGGATCTCCAGACGATACTATATCGAAGGGCAGAGTTTCGTCTCAGGAAACAGCTACCCGACCCCGTTTTAGACGGGGTCTAAATGGAATTTTTGCCCGAGCCTACAGGCACGGATACCCCACATTAAATTCGGCTTTGTGCCATATCTGACTGCTTGGGGCGGTTGGTAGATATTCTGCAGTTGGAGATTCGTTGTGGAATTCACTTGACTCACTTCAAGCAGTTGACTATTTTTTCTACGCGCCGCTGGCGAATCTTTTGTGTTGCTCTTGTTCTAAGTATAATCGTTCATTACCAACCTTCGTGTGATTATTCTATTCAGTAACCTTTCCTAGGTTACAACAATTTGGCGACGAGGACTAGCCAACATTACAACAGAAAGAATATATTATTAGACATGAACAGTTATAATATTTTAGGTTGTTGGAATTTATTCCGTATAAACCAATCCTATACTTTGATATATATATATATATATATATATATATATATATATATATATATATATATATATATATACATGTTTGGCTAATATATTCATTGGCATGTCTGTTCGAACTATGGGATTGAAGTCCTGGTTATGTCGTGTAAACAGCACCCGAATATCACAAACGGACAGGGTTATAAAAGATTTCAAAAAAGGAAACTGCCAACTAA